ATCTGTTTGCTTATCATTGTAAATAATTGTATATAATAATATTCTGGGGAGGTAGGGAGACCGACGCCATTTTTGTTGGAACCTTGTTTATTGATTGTTTTTGGATTGGAAGTTAGGGAAGTAATTGTATTTTATTTTGTGAAAGGTAATACTGTACAAAGAAAGAGTTTGTGAGGGTATCCAAATTTTTATCTTGGGAAATCAACTAGAAAATCAAGATAAACAATGACCTGACCTGGTTTCGAGATCCGCCCTTCCTGGATTTGGTCTTGTTGAACACGGGTAGCGTGCCTGTGATGACTAGGCCCAACTCCTGAGGTCATGAAGAGAACACAAAATCAATCAAACACAATGCACTTTCACAATTTCTGTGATGTTTATTAAAAAAGGGGCTGTACCAGAGCGTCCAGGTACACGTTGGTCCACTGCACTTGTTTGGCATCTGCAAGGACCATTGGCCTGCCCAAAACATCTAGATACTCCTATGCAACAGTGAACAACACGATGCAATCAATGAGTGGTCATCCTTGGACCTTCACATACTTCTAAACAACTATCTAACCAAATGAGTCGCATTTGAAACACATTGGCACTATACAGACCTGTGTGTTTATGCGAATGGCTCCAATGGATGGGATTTCGTAGAAATATCCTAGAAAACATATATGGATTATCATATTTAATTTTTTTTTTTTTTTAGCAATCTAGTGGTGAATCTGCTAAAGAGGCTGTGAGATGTAAGAATTATTTTTGTGCTACTACCACTATGGGGCAAAAACAGACTGAGCAATACTTACCCTTATTAGCACAGGCCATCCACTTTATTGGCCAGGTGTCATAGTTATGTTGACCCACAGAGAATGTGAACACACGCACCTACACTCCAACAGCATAGTATTCAAATTCAGAGCAACGTTATTGTATTATGCCAAAAAGATCAAACAAAAAATAAAATGAATTAATTAATATTATTGGCACCCCTCAAAAAAAGTACTATAATGTGTTATAAAATGTGTGTAAATAATTATAAAATATTGTGTGCAAATATAATGCAGAATAAAATAAACACTACATATAATAATTGAAATCTTCATTTAAATGTTTTTGAGAAATTGCTTATGATTTATTTAGTACCAATTCCAACCAACCATTCCTACAAAAGTGCTGCTTCATTATAAGAATAGTGTACTCTTTTAAAAACCTATGGACAAAAATGATTGGCACCCCTAAAGGTTATCATATGAAACCTGTTTTTAGGACCTACTATATAATTATGATTTAGTACCAATTCCAACCAACCATTCCTACAAAAGTGCTGCTTCATTATAAGAATAGTGTACTCTTTTAAAAACCTATGGACAAAAATGATTGGCACCCCTAAAGGTTATCATATGAAACCTGTTTTTAGGACGGACCTA